CTCCCTAAAAATCATTCTTCCCTTGACTGTCAGGACACCACTCATCTGGTCGTCTGACTGCCCCTTTTGTCCCCCCGAGCTGTGTATCTCCCTAAATGACCCTATCTGATACCACAGCATTAGATGATCCACGTATCTGTAATTCCTGAGTATCTCCAGCGTCTGCCTCTCATCTGAGCCCCAGGGCTGTACATCCATCTTCCTACTGAATTACCTCCTCTTGGAAGTCCGATAGGAATCTTACACTTAACAGTGTCCAACACTGAATAAATTCTTTCCTTTAAATTTTTCCTTTCCAAGTCTGTCCTTTGCTCAGGCCACAAAACCAGAGATTCATCTCTGACTCACTTCTACCCCACATCCAATGCACCAACACATTTTGTTGACTTGTCTTGAAATGCAACCGCAGTAGGACACACCACCTCCACAGCCACCTCGTCTGGGTCCTCAGGAGCCTCTAACAGACTGGAAGCTGGGCTCTGACCAACCACAGTCACTCTCCTCACTGTGACCCTTCTGAAACACACAGGATCCTCACTCCCTTGGCTGAAACTTTCCAGTGGCTTCCCATTGTTCTCAAGCACGGACAAGGTCCTTACTACGGCCAAAGCCACACCAGATCTGGCTTCTGCCAACCTCTGTAACTCTCGTCGTAACTCTGCTGCCCTTGGATTCTGCTCAGCCACACTGGCCTGTCCTCAGTCACACCAAGCACCTCAGGACTTTTCTTCCCGGAATGCCCTTTCCTCAAGGGTCACCTGCCAACCCCTACCTTCATTAAAGTCCCTGCTCGAATGTCACCCACCTCCAAGAAACCTTCCATGCCCACTCGACCTCAAGTCCTCCCATTCACTCATCCACTTTTTCCCATAGCATTTGGTGCCCTCTGATGTTATACAAACCTCATTACTCAGATTGTGTTTGTGAATTCACCTATTTGCTAACATTTATTTGCAAATTATAAAAACCAATATAGTATTTGTGGTTCTTTATGGGCAAACACAGAGCAGTGAAAAATTTGAGTCACTTGCCATATACATTCCCCTCTGACATTGTTGGCCTTGTGCTAAATGTTTATTCATCAACAATATATATTACATAAGGTATCTTTAAACAGAAACACACAAAAGCAAGGTTATTTGTTAATCTGTGGGTCAAGAAACCAGAGGTGACCAGAGGCTCACACGAAACTAACTCTATTTCCCCTAGGAGAAAAGGTTCAGAATTTGCTAATTTAGGGTTCACGGAAACTTTATAGCAAAGCTGCCACAAATAGCAACAATCAACTTTATCTCCTATTACCACCTAACACTATATATTTTTCCTTGTTAAAACGCAAAATCCTGAAGAGCAAGAATTTCCTTTTTTATTTTTTTAACTGTCTTACCGCTGAGATTAATAACAGTGCTTGGCTCTTGGCCTTGATAGCAAGGTTATTACTTTCTCTCAAAATAGAATTGTTGGATGGTGTCCCACCCTGGTCACAAATAAATTTCTCAGGGAGAAAGATATTTGTGATATACCATTTGCACATCAACACAAAAACAGACAACTTTTTCTATTATAGATCATTTACTCATCATGTAACATTAAAGTTGTACTAACAAGGTTTCCTGCCATCCTTTGTACGGGGAGAAAAAGGAGACAAGTTGTATGGGGGACGTTTACATTCCACGGCACTCCATCTGTATAAGAAACAGTAGTAACACCGTCACACATTCATATACCATATACAGTCATTTACGTTCAGAAAGATTAGTGTTTTTCTGGAACAGACCCCAAATTTAAAAAGTAGGTATTTAATAGTACCCAACTGTTCAAAATGCCAGAAAACTGACACAACTTTTTTTAATCATTTTGAAATCCTCATTCTCCAAAAGTACTAATGAAGNGCAACACCACCTAAAATCATGGCAAGTTTTTCCAAGAGCAGGAATAAATATTAAAAAAGAGTTTTCAACAACTCTCAAACAGATATTCATCAAAATGAGGTAAGTCTGTGTCATCTGCTAAAGAGTTTAATGCTGAAGTGGAAAAAAATTCATCAAAAATATCAGTCTTCACGGAACTTTCCCAGTTCAATGTTCTACTGCAGGCATTACTTGTGAGAGAGTTTGGTTGAACTTGGCATTGATTTTTCTTGGAGGGGCTGCAGTAATTGTGGTCCTGTCTCAGATGTATGTTGGGGGGAGTACTGTCTAAAGCATTAGGTACTGGTGCCGGGATGTGGTTGTCTCCCATTTCTAAGTATCTAAAGTCAGCCTCCCCGTTTTCTGAGAGTGCTGTTGAAACAACAGTTGAAGGAGACAGCAATTCTGCTAAAATTTCTTCATGAGTTTGACCACTGTAAGAGGAAACACCAGAAACTGTGGTGCATCCGGATTTATTATCGGCAATATCAATTTGATATTGTAGTTCTTTTAACAAAACTTCTATTGAGTCACAGTCATTAGGAGACCCACACTGGGACACAGGTTCTACATTTTCACTTGCAGGCATTCCATTTTGGGGCGAAGACATAAGAGCAGCCAGTTTCTTCTTTTTTGCCTTAAGTTTTTTAAGAAGTTTTAGACGAAGTTTATGAATCTGACCCTCAACTGAGTCTCCATGGTTTACTGAAGAAACACCATTTTCATTTCCACAGGAATTGTGGCTGAGGTGAGCTCCTTGTGAGGCGTTTTCACCGTTCTTCAAAACTTCTGAAGCAGCACTGACATCAGCCTGTAGATGAGAAGCCACGTCCCCTGGCAGTGGGTCACTTGGTGGAGGGTCCCCAACTGAAGGAGGCTTACTTGCAAACCTGTGAGCTTTCCTGGATGCCTGGTTGGCCTTTTGGTTTCTACCTTTAGTTTTAAAGCCACCAAAATTACTGGCCCCTTTAACTGAAGGCTGCAGATCAGCTACGGTGTTTCTATTATGAGCTAAGACACAGGGCGGCATAAAAGATGCCCCCTTGCTTAGCAAGCCTTTAACCCAACTTCCCACAAACGGTTTCTTCTGAGTCTCTTTCAGAGATGGATTCTGTAGTGACTTAGCTGCTATGGTTTGAGAACATGCTGCAATTTCTTTTTTCTTCGAATTAGATACCTGAGGTTTAACATAATGTTCTGGCTTTAATTTCTCTGTTTTTGGTGAAAGACATTGTTTTAATGGGGTGTCCTTCTCTGAGGAAACTGTACCTTCAATTTCTATTGCTTTTACTTCCTGTATAGGATCAAGAGCACGGGCATTATTCACGGGTTCAGTCATTTCAGTGTCTTCTGCGCTCAGCTGTACAGACTGCATGTCTGCATTCACAATTTGAGATGGAAAGCTTAATTCCACACACGGGTCTTGGGTAAGCTTTTCCTTACACGAAGCTGATACTAGAGAAGCCATTAGTGGTTCTTGGGATTGTGGAGTATTTGTTCTGACAACGCCTCCATTTTCTGCCACAGGTTTATTTACTAATGGGAAACCTTCAGATTTAACCTGCGTTTCTTCAAATGTCAAAGGTAAAATACTGTCAACCAAACCTTTTGGGCTTGGAAGTAAATGATGTTCAAGAGCTACAACTCCATCCCATGAAAGAGTGGGAGCAACAGATGTATTTGGGGGCTGAGTTCCTGAGGACGCCTCAGCTGAGGCAGCGTCAGCCACAGAAAATACCGCCGGGGACGCTTGCCCCTCACCTCCGGACGCGGGCTGGCCATCAGTCTTTTCCAGTGGAAGGCAGGCAGCTGCTTTATCTGCCATTTGGGACGCCTTTCTTTCCCAAATAACAATATGTATCTCTGAAGCAGGCACTTTAAATTGCTCACGTCTTTCAGCACATGGGCCTTTTAAGTCATCACACTCCAGCCAGCTTCCTGGGGGATGGGGAAAGAAAATGAGAGAGGGTAAGACATTCAAACCACCATCCAAGGGTTTTCTGGCCTTTTTCACTGCTATATCCTATGGAACAGCCACCACAGGAGAACTCTCAAAATTATCGCCTCCTTATGTCTACATTTTCTATGCCAAATACCAACTTCCGGATTTGGATAACAAAAGTTCTGGACTAACTCCAGAAATTTGAAACACAGAGAAGTTTTCATCGTTTCCTAAATACCCACAACAACCAAGAGAGAGGTTTATTTAACCTTTGGGACCACCAGAAATTAGATTAAGCTTTCTATATAATATATGAATTTTCAAGTACCAACATTTGTTTAAATTATTTCTCTTTTTGGTTTTAAAAAAAGCCTCACTATTCACGTGTCTGCTCTCATTTTATTTCTGAGCCTCTGTTATTTGTTGAGCAGAAATGAGATTATGGAATGACAACAGGAGAGGTAAACCCTCATCAACACACACAAAAAAACCTCCCAACAAAACCGTTCACTAAGTTTCTGTGGGTGCACCCTTATAAACTACCTTAACTCACCACTGTTTATTCTATAACCATTAAAGCTTTGGTAATCCTTTATTTGGCTGTATGTCAGTGATTCTCCACCACACATGCACCTTAGAATCACCTGATTAATATTTGGGCCCATTCCCCACAGACAATGATTCACTGATCTAGGGGAGAGCCAGGATATTTTTCATAACCTTACAATATGATTTTTATATGCTGTCAGGGTTGGAAACTATCTACTCTTCTACCTGAAATGGACTTTTTCATTCCTGGGAATGCAAGAAAAAGTAAAACATGTTGACTTTTTAGTTTTCGTTCATGTTGTTGAGAACTACTTCCCCCACAAATTCTGGAGTATAGTAACACTCTAAGGTAATAATTATACTTATTATGTGAATTTCAGTTTACAAGGTGCTTTGAGAAGCAATACATTATTGTGTCATCCATCCAAACCATCCCCAAGGAGGAAAATATCAAGTATGAAAAAGTGTCCAAACAATATAAAA